GTCAAAATATGAAATATTTAAAGAGTAGAGCTCCTTCGGAAAAGCGTTGTGTCAAAGTGGAGCAGCAGGTGGCGCTGCAGTCTGACCACAATGATTAATAACTGTTTACATCTGATTGCAGACACAGAGGTCAGAGGTCAGAGGTTTCAGCAGCTTTTGGAAAACATGCAGATTTCCCAGGAAACGTGGCTTTGTGTTCCAGTTTTCTCAAGAGAAGAAGTGAAGTATGTTTTATAAACCTCACAAACAAACATTAAAATCACCAGATAAAACAGAATGAAGCAGCCAGGAGGGATGAACCGTCTCTTTAAAGAGGCCACACAATCAAGATGGAGGCAAACAGTGAACCTGTGCTAATCCGCTAACAGCAGAGCTAATTTTCTGTTAAACATGTAGCACTTAGCTTCTCTAGATAAATTACAAAGCACTAAGATTTTTGCCTTTTAGCGTTAGCTTTCAGTTAGCTTTGCAGTTAGCTGCAGTTTTCATTGCCCACCTGCTTCGTGTCCTCTGGTCTTAAAGTGGCTTCAGAGCAAATGAAACCAGCTGGTTCTGTTTCGGAGGATCCAGAATCACGACGACCTGCTGACACTAAATCATCTGGAGGTTTTAGTGAAACCAGCCGCTGATAAATCCAGTTTGGGCTTTTAGCTGAGCTGTGGAGGTTCTGCTGTTCACGTGCAAAAGTAACACAACCATCTGTGTGACGCATTCCCTGGACTGCAGCTGGTTCTGACCCGGTTCTGACCCAGAGGACGGCTCGCCGGCCCAAAACGGACCAGGCGTCTCTCTGTGGTTCCCAGAGGTCAGCAGGTCGCGATTTCACCTCCAATGGAGCCTGAAACCTAAAAACGGGTCGGCCCATCGGGTCACAGACAGCTGATAAAGTGTCTGCAGCGCGTTCGGTCCAGAGGCCCGGTCCAGAGACCCGGTCCAGAGACCCGGTCCAGAGACCCGGTCCAGAGGCCCGGCCCAGAGGCCCGGCCCAGAGGCCGGCCCAGAGGCCCGGCCCAGAGGCCCGTCCAGAGGCCCGGTCCAGAGGCCCGGTCCAGAGGCCCGGCCCAGAGACCCGGCCCAGAGACCCGGCCCAGAGACCCGGTCCAGAGGCCCGGTCCAGAGGCCCGGCCCAGAGGCCCGGCCCAGAGACCCGGTCCAGAGGCCCGGTCCAGAGGCCCGGTCCAGAGACCCGGTCCAGAGACCCGGTCCAGAGGCCCGGCCCAGAGGCCCGGCCCAGAGGCCCGGCCCAGAGGCCCGGTCCAGAGGCCCGGTCAGAGGCCCGGCCCAGAGACCCGGCCCAGAGACCCGGCCCAGAGACCCGGTCCAGAGGCCCGGTCCAGAGGCCCGGCCCAGAGGCCCGGCCCAGAGACCCGGTCCAGAGGCCCGGTCCAGAGGCCCGGTCCATTACTCACCCCGCCGGTTTCCTGTGCTGTTATGGTGTTGCTAGGCAACCAGCTGTGAGGGGAAAACATGAACCAGGATCAGCAGCTGGACCGAACCGCCAGAACCCTGAAGACAGAACCAGGAGGAAACTCAGAGACTCTGAACGTTTCATAGTTTAAACTGCAGAAGCTGAAATGTTACTGATAAGCATACAGCAGCAGAGGTACTAGTAATACTACTAGTACTAGTACTATTACTAGTAATAGTAATGGTACTATTACTATTACTATTACTATTACTAGTAATAGTACTAGTACTATTACTAGTACTAGTACTAGTAATAGTAATGGTACTATTACTAGTACTAGTAATGGTACTATTTCTAGTACCATTACTGGTAATAGTACTAGTAATAGTAATATCACTAGTCCTAGTTATGGTACAAGTAATAGTAATAATATTAGTAATAGTACTATTAATAGTACTAGTAATGGTACTAGTAATAGTAATAGTAATAGTATTGTTTCTTTTTTTCTGACAAGTTGACGCTGAACGTTCCTGTTGCTCATCATGTGAAAGTAGATAGATTTTTTTTATTACACAGACTTAAAGTCCAAATTTAGATCAAAAAGAAAACAAAAACGATAAAAGAATAAAAAGTGGATTAAAAATGGCAACTAACCCGTCAGGAGGCCATCAGAGTAGAGATGAGTATTTTACGGCACATAGAATAATTCTATTATTAGACTCGTTTACAGGACAAATACATTTATACATAAACTTTCTGAAAACAGCCATCAAAGTGCTGACAAGAGCAGATACACACAGTTCACTGGTACTGGTCCATCTGGGCGTATTTAACAAAAGTCTTAAAGCATCATTAAAAGCCACTTTCAATCTTTGAAGACTGGCTTTTTTAAAATTGCACCACAAATGTGAAGTATACATTGATGCACAATATGATCGAAACAAATGCAGTTTCACTTCATCACTACAGAGTGAAACGACTTTTCAATCAAAACCATGTTGGATCCAGATAAGGTTCTGGAGGGTGAAGGTACCAATGGAACGCTGCAGGTTTTCCTGCTGCAGCATCACCAGCTTATTTATGTTGCAGCTTTAAAACATCACAAACCACAAATATTAAAACAAAGAAAAAGAAAAAAGCAGCACAAAGTCTGAAGGATTTTTCTGAGATCTCAGAGAGGAGCTAAAGATCTAGATCAGGTTCTAGATCAGGTTCTGGATCGGGTTCTGGATCGGGTTCTAGATCGGGTTCTGGATTGGGTTCTAGATCCGGTTCAGGTTCTAGATCGGGTTCTAGATTGGGTTCTAGATCGGGTTCAGGTTCTAGACCAGGTTCTAGATCGGGTTCTAGATTGGGTCCAGGTTCTAGATCGGGTTCTGGATCGGGTTCTGGATCGGGTTCTAGATTGGGTTTAGGTTCTAGATTGGGTTCAGGTTCTAGATCAGGTTCTGGATCGGGTTCTAGATTGGGTTCAGGTTCTAGATCGGGTTCTAGATTGGGTTCTAGATCGGGTTCAGGTTCTAGATCGGGTTCTAGATTGGGTTCTAGATCGGGTTCAGGTTCTAGACCAGGTTCTAGATCGGGTTCTAGATTGGGTCCAGGTTCTAGATCGGGTTCTGGATCGGGTTCTGGATCGGTTCTAGATTGGGTTTAGGTTCTAGATTGGGTTCAGGTTCTAGATCAGGTTCTAGATCGGGTTCTGGATCGGGTTCTAGATTGGGTTCAGGTTCTAGATCGGGTTCTAGATTGGGTTCAGGTTCTAGATTGGGTTCAGGTTCTAGATCAGGTTCTAGATCGGGTTCTAGATTGGTTCTAGATCAGGTTCAGGTTCTAGATCGGTTTCTAGATTGGGTTCTGGATCGGTTTCTGGATCAGGTTCTGGATCGGGTTCTGGATCGGGTTCTAGATCAGGTTCTGGTTCGGGTTCTGGATCGGGTTCTAGATCAGGTTCTGGATCGGGTTCTGGATCGGGTTCTGGATCAGGTTCTAGATCAGGTCCTGGATCGGGTTCAGGTTCTAGATCAGGTTCTAGATCGAGTTCTGGATCGGGTTCTAGATCGGGTTCTAGATTGGGTTCTAGATTGGGTTCTAGATCAGGTTCAGGTTCTAGATCGGTTTCTAGATTGGGTTCTGGATCGGTTTCTGGATCAGGTTCTGGATCGGGTTCAGGTTCTAGATCAGGTTCTAGATCATGTTCTGGATCGGTTTCTAGATCTGGTTCTGGATCAGGTCCTGGATCGGGTTCTGGTTCTAGATCAGGTTCTAGATCGAGTTCTGGATCGGGTTCTAGATCGGATCCAGAATCGTCTGTTTTCTGTGAAAAATGTTTTATTATTTGTCCTCCAGGAACATTTTCAAAATAAGTGCAATGAGTCCTGATACTGAGCCGTGAGGGACTCCACTGAGCTTTGACTCTGACATCAGCAGGTTTACAGAAACACGACATGTTAGCAGAGAGACGGGGGACGACCTCCACCCCAGCATGATGCTGCCACCGCCTGCTCTCTCTGCGGCTCCAACTTTTCCACCATCAGGTCTGATTTACAGTTTCAGCCTCAAATCGGCAGCAGAAGGAAAATGTTGACGTGTTATAAAGATTCAGCTCAGACAGAACCAATATTTCATGTCTGATGGTAATGTTGCATCGATGGGAGTTAAAATCGATGATATGATTGTTTTCTTGCGTTTCCTGAGCCTCAGGTGGGATCACGGTTTGGGCCGGACGTGGAGAGAAACATCCCACAGAGTCCATGTTTATTCTGCTCCCAAATAAACGCTTCCACATAACGACTCGATTCATCAGCCTGGAACAAACCGCTCAGCAGCTGCCGAGGAAAATCTGTGTGGCTCCACCGCTTATTTCCACCAAAACATAAATTAATGAGAGATGAATGACTGGCCTCTTTTTGCACCAGATTTGATGAGTAAAGCGTTAATAGTAATAAAATCCATATTAGAAGCTAAACTAAGAGCTTTTATTACACTTCTCAATTAACTGTCAGATCAGTCCAAGCAGGCAGCGCGCCACCAATGATCTTCCTGAGTGAACGTCGCCTTTAAAAAATTAAAGGCCCACAGAAAAATAAACCAATTAAAGCTAAAACATCAAAGCAGCAAATTAATATTTCTGGTTTTAAAACATTAAGTGGAAAATTGTGTTTTGGTGAGTTGGTCAAGAGCAGCTGTAAGGCGTTAAAGTTTATTTCTGAAGAATAACCCTACAGCACCATAAAAAATAAGTACATCCCTAATGCTAATGACTATTATCTCTAGGCTAACAATCTGAGCTTCTTATCTGAACATTTGTATTATCATGCTAATGCTAATGATTAGCATAATCTGTATGAGCATTTTGAATCAGCCTTGTTTATGTGGTGCACTTAAAATGTCACTGCATTATTTTGGTTATTTTGTGATTGTAGAATATTATTATATACTTTTTATTCTATATCCTAAGAAAAATGAAGAATGTATATCTAGTTTGCATTGAGGCGCATTAATGTTCCTGTATTTATGAGGGTAATGGGGAACAGAAGGGCCAGGTGGAACCTTTGTCTGGGGACCGTTGCTTCCGGGTCGGTTTTGGGCGCACTTCCTGTTTGAGTCAGACGCAACATGGATGCTAATGGCAGCGCTCGGTCGTTATTGCTCTCCTGTTTCATGATTCCTCAGGTCAGTTCACCGTAAAAACACAAGAAAATGTTTTCCTGTTGCTCTTCAGTAGGTGGCGCTGTAGTTTCTGTTCACCTCCCTGCTAACCTGTTGCTAACCTGTTGCTAACCTGCCTCATGGTTTCCAGTTCAGGTTTCACTCCAGTTGTAAAAGTTTTCTTTAGTTTCAGTAATAGTCAGTTTACATTAAGGTGGCCAGATTTCCAAGACTCATTCTGGGGACATTTCTCGCTCAGCGATAAAGAAAAGTTAATTTATCTAAATAAATGAAGAAACTGGGACAGTTACAGTTTACATATCTATTAATACGTAAACATTAAAAATAGAATATCAAAGCAGGAACATGTCTCTCCACACAGTGGTAATATTTCTATTGATAAATAAAAGTAATGGAAAACTAAAACTGGAAATATGGGGCAAATTGTGTTCATACTTTGTAAGTGAGCAAACATGAATAGTTGGTATTTTCTGTTAATGAACAAAAAGCCCACAGTGGAAACTGAAGTAACTTAAAACTGACAAAAGTAATAAAAAGTGTTTACTGATTTAGATTGTGGCTCAATTAAAATGATGGTACTTAAAACTTATTAGCATGTTTGTGTCTGTGATCATGGAGCTGATGGACAGTTTGTCTCGTCTGTAAATTCCAGCCTCACTTTTTAATGATTTGCTTTCCTTCATCGTCTCACATGAAGTCCACCTTGACCTTGTAGTTCACCTTTACTTTCTGAACTTGGTTGTTCTGGACTGTTATCCATCACAGCCAGGCTGAACGGCTCCAGTCCTGTTGGACCTTTAACTTTCAGAATAATCTGTACGGCTGTCGTCATCTTGGTTTGTCATTTTCTTATTCTGCTGAACCTCAATTAAAAACCATGTCTGATTTTTTTATTGATTAATTTTCAGTAAATCTTCATCACTTTTTGTCAGTTTCAGGTTGTTTCAGTGACACTGTGGGTTTTTCAGTCTTTAACAGACGATACCAACAACTTTGTTCACAAGTGAATGTCGTGCATGAATGGACACATTAGTGTCCATAAATACATGAGCGTGTAACATTATGTAGCTGATATGTGAGGACGCTGTGTGTGTTGGAGATGAGTGAACTCTGCTCCACTAACATGACTTCATCTCTGGATGTGAAAACCTCCTGAGTCTGAAGAGCCGCACGATCAGAGACGTCTGGATGAAATAAGAGCAGAAAAGATTATGTGAAAAACATCACAAAGATAGTAAAGAGAAACACTTAAAATGCAAGATATAAGATATTAAATATGTTTATATTTCATATTTCTCTCCAGCTTTGTCAGTTTTCCTGTTTTCCTCATTCATTCAGTTTATCAGAATATTTTCCTCCTATTTCATCTTTTATCAGTCTGCCAGTAACAGACACATAAAATCATCTCAATTTCCCAAAAAAACTGAAAATGTACAATTTAAGAAATAAAATTAGTTTTCCTATATAATTTGGTTATTTTGAGACGAGGAGCTGGATTCTTCCCAATAAAATCTTAGTAAAAATATTAACCTTTTTCATCAGCTGATGAAATCTCAAAAATTCCATATTTAGCAAAAAAGAAATAAAGATGTTTGGACAAACAGAAGAGATGATCTCTCCATCAGGTTCAGTTCAGGCTCTTCATTCAGTTTTCTTGTCACTGATCGATTCCACTGTTTGTGATAAACTTTACATGCTTAAACTCATATCTAGCTTGGAAAATACAACCAATGATCACCAGTTAATTCCAAAACATCTTTATTTTAACCATCCTGTTGCTATTTCTCTCTCTGGCTCATTCTGTAGCTGTTCATTGTGCTCTCGTCTTGTTGTGTTTGTTAATAAAAGTTTAGTTTTATGTGAACCAATTCTTTATGACGCAAGTTCAAACAACTTGCAGTTCAAACAAAACTCGATGTTTCTGTATCAGGTCAGCTGCTCAAAACTGCAGCTGCTCTTCTTCATTTTTATTGGCGGTTGGCTACGATGCTCTTCTTCTTCTCTGTAACGTTAACAGAAGCGTGAGCAGCTACCGTAACTGCTGTGTCTGCGCGCAACTCGTTCACTCACGCTTTCTACTCCCTGCCGGTGGAAAAGGGGCGAAGGGGTTTCCGTAATAACATCCATCCATTGTCCGGTCACCCTCCTCCCTAACGGGGTCGGGAGGTGCTGGTGCCTCTCCAGCTGCGTTCCAGGCGAGAGGCGGGGTCACTGGACAGGTCGCCAGGCTGTCGCAGGGCCACCGTAATAACAATCTACAGGAAACTTTTTTTTTTCTCGTTAATAAAATAGTAAAATCGGGGACTTTTCCAGGGACGGCTTCAGCCGGGGACGTCTGGCCATCCTAGGGTACATTATTTAGTGACTCATAAAGTATCTGAGAGTAAAGGGAGGTACAGAAACTATTCTTTGTTCAGTAACTTTGGAATTATTTTAAATTCTATATTTTTCTTGTAATTTGATCATTAGGTCAAAGTCGGTTGGAGCAGTAAGGCTTTAAAAAGTGTTCATTAATCCTGGTTAACATAATTTACCTGCGTTTTCTTCATCTAAGGCAGTGTTTCTCAAATAGTGGGGCGGGCCCCCTTTGGGGGGCGCGGTGCGATACCTGGGGGGGCGTGTGATCCTGGGGAACAGGCTTTTTTTTTGGCCGAACTAGTATAAAGTGTAATTGCGCACAGTAGGCGGCAGTGGCGCTCTCATTGTTACTTCTGTCACGTTTGCGACAGTGCAACATTTCATGACTTACAAGACAACAGGTTTGCCTTGGTTAGCAGTGTTAAGTCAACAAAAAGCTCCGACTGCGTTCTGTCTATGGCGTCCGTTATTCAACAACCCCCAACATGAAAAAGTTTTTCACAGGGATGAAAAGAAAAGCGGAGAGAGACAAAGATAATGAGACAACAGAAAGTCAACCGAAAGCTAAGAAGAGGAAATACGACGAAGCGTATTTAGCGCTTGGCTTCACTGTGACTACAGTTGGAGAAGAGGAAAGACCGGTGTGTTTGCTGTGTCTAAAAATGCTCGCAGCGGACAGCATGAAGCCAAATAAATTAGCGCGTCACTTAAATACGTTACATCCCAATCACGCAGATAAGCCGCTAGAGTTTTTTCAGCGAAAAAAATGTTAATAAGGAAAAAATGTTATGCAGAGATGGATAGTCACGGTGCGGAGTGGGGGGCGCGAATAGTTTTCTTCTTGCTAGGGGGGGCGTAACGGAAAATAATTGAGAAGCACTGATCTAAGGGAAGGATGGTAACATGTTGAAGTAGATTATGACTTCTGAGAAAAGTAAACAAGATTTATGGAATAAAGTAACATAAAGCATTGTCTTTGCATATTGTAAAACGTTAGTTGGTTAAATAAATGAGACGTAATGGGATGTTGGAGGCAGCGCTCCAGTCGTCGTTCCTCTCTAGTCTTTCATTATTCTGTAGCATGTAGAAACTATTAAAACCCATTAACTTACAACCATATAATTCATACAGTCATCTTCCTCTGTTTTGGGTCTCAAGGGATCAGAAGCCAAGCCAACGTAGAAATCCGCTGCTCTGTGACAGCGGCCATCTTTCCTCCGCCAAATGGCCGACCGGTCGTATGTGGGCAGACGGTCATGCTCTGACCTCTTAACCTTTGGCCTCCATTTTCCTCTCTTAAAATAAGGAGAATTCTCAAATCTCTTTGGTCGGCATTTTTATTTTTAGTGATTCTAAGCAGAGTTTATGTGGATTAAAGGCCAAAACACATAAAAGTTCATTTGGTTTCCCAGAAATCTCCTGTGTAGCTGAGGCTTCGTCAGCATGAAGGCTAACCACCAGAATCAGTCGCCATGGAAACAGGACGTCCTGTTTCCTGGACCCCTGACAGAACATGAAGCCACATGAAAACGATGAAGCGATTAGTGGACTCAAACCGGGCCTCTGGACCTCACCGCCTGTCATGTAAAAAGCCTCACATTTGTCTGTTTCCGATGGAAGTCGGCGTGCGAAGACACCGGGAGGCAAGTGAGCGTCCAGCAGGGACGAATTATGGCGTTTCTGGAGAGACGTCGCGTTCAGAAGTCCAGAGGTCTGCACAGGATCAAACTGTTTTCCTTCCTCTGGTCACATGATGGCGGCCATGTTCCCCATCAGGACAGCGGCGGTCCTGATCAGCGCCGAAATCCTTCCAGTGGATTTTATTTCCAGATTATGGGTCGGCTCTGCTGCTCCGGCGCTGGACAGGACTTCAGAACCGCTTCAGAGAAAGTTCAGGTTTTAATTTAACATTACTAACATGGAACCCATCCATCCATTTTCTGAGCACCCTTCTCCCTAACGGGGTCAAGAGGTGATGGTTCCTCTCCAGCTGCGTTCTGGGCGAGAGGCGGGGTCACCTGGACAGGTCACCAGTCTGTCGCAGGGCAAGACAGAGACAAACAGGACAAACAACCATGCGCACACACACACACACACACACACACACACACACACACACACACCTAGGGAGGATTTGGGAAGGCCAATTAACCTGACAGTCATGTTTTTGGACTGTGGGAGGAAGCTGGGGAACCCAGAGAGAACCCAGCATGCACAGGGAGAACATGCAGACTCCGTGCAGAAAGACCCCGGGGCGGGAATCGAACCCAGGACCTTGAACATGGAACCATACCTTTAAAACAAAATAACTTTATCTGCAGCATTTTAAATAACTAAATAAAAACTTAAAACCAATCAGCAGCAACAGCTTGAAAATGAAGAGGTTAAAGGTCAGATATGAGCCAGGAGCCTGTTGATTGATGCAGAAAGTTTGTATTTGCGGCTCACTTATAATAATCTCGAGATACAGATTCAGTTACTGAATCTTCTAAATATTTTAGCATTTCCATATGAAATCAGTCATCAACTTCTGGACAGTTTTAATCTTCAGCGGAAGCGTCTGTCTGAGGCGACGCCATCTTGGAAGCGTCTGTCTGAGGCGACGCCATCTTGGAAGCGTCTGTCTGAGGCGACGCCATCTTGGAAGCGTCTGTCTGAGGCGACGCCATCTTGGAAGCGTCTGTCTGAGGCGACGCCATCTTGGAAGCGTCTGTCTGAGGCGACGCCATCTTGGAAGCGTCTGTCTGAGGCGACGCCATCTTGGAAGCGTCTGTCTGAGGCGACGCCATCTGATGCGTTTTGCCAGAGCTTAATAAAGTTCACTGAGGTCGATGTACTAAAACTTCCTCCAATCTTTTTTTTCTGCTCCTTTTCTCTAATGACCATCAGAACCTTACCAAAAGTTGTTTTACTATTGTAAAAGATGTTCCAGGTAAATACATCAAATAACTGTTTCAGATTAAAGCAGAAACTTCAGATTGAAATATATCTTAGAAGTGCCAATTGATCCTAGCACCGTATTTTCCAGACTATAAGCTAGAAGTTGCTCGTGTCTCCTTGGATTCACGGTGAGTTTCCTTGCAGCGGCTCTCGATCTGTCCTGCCAGATCGACATCCTTTAACTTGAAAGCTGCATCATATGAACTTCTTCCATGACAAGCTGCCAGCTTGGGCTTGTTCTAAATGAAAATCAGCACTTTCTTCTTGGATTTTTTAGTTTCAATAACTCACTTCCTGCTAAAGAGCCCCTAGTGGCCACACTGGGCTACAAACCGCACGGTTGAAAGCAAGGGAAAAACTCGCAGCTTATATACTGAAACTTACGGTAATCTTTTTCCTTCTTGTGAAGAAGAAATAGTTTCAACTTCAAATTTAAAAAAATCAAATCTTTAGAAGGAGCAAGCAAATATTTATCAGTTTTTTGTCTTAAAGTGAAACTAATATGTAGAAACAGGCCAGACAACGATACATTGTGACTTTTAACATCACATTTTTTCTTGATTATTGTTCCAGCTATTGTTTCATTAGCTGGAACAATAGCTAATGAAACAATAGCTAATGAAACAATAGCTAATGAAACAATAGCTAATGAAACAATAGCTAATGAAACAATAGCTTTATTTTATGTACTGAGATAAACAGGATGAGATCAGTAAATTAAATGTTGATTGGAACGGAGTCGCTGCCGTTCTCAGGGATCTGTTTTGTTTTCCATCAAATTATGTCTCATATCATTTAACCCTTCATGACCATCCGTCGCTAAATATTTTTATTTTCCCTAAAATACCTGAGTGGACTTTGGTTTCCTGAGTATCAGTTCAGCAGATTTATGTTTCCATCTTTAATAGTGCAAACAGGAAGAAGAAGGAAGATTCATCATAAAACCGAAGCTTCCAGCTTCAGATTTACTGATTCTGGATCGAGACGAATCGTCAGCTCTGAGCTTCCTGAGGTTCAACTTCCTGCCTAGTCAAAGTCCTGTGAACCAGCCTCAGGTCCACTGAGGAAGAGGAGGATGAAGGCTGCCTCTTCATTTCCTCGGCGGTGAAACCATCTGGAATACGAAGTGAATCTGAAGCTCAGGAAACGCTGCCTGAGATTTTCTGTTTATGTTCTGAATAAAACATTTTGTAATATTTATAAACTTTCTAAACTCGGCTCGGATGGAAGGCTGTCCCAAAGCAGAAGCCGACTGTAGCAAAACGTTGTTTATTTGTTGGGTTTGACCTGGAATAATAATATATATCACACTTTAAATATTCTCAAAAGGTCATAAATACTTCAGTTGTCAGTTTAATTTGTCAAATTTATGAATTTCCTGAATAGTTTTTGTTGTCAGGAACCTGAGTGGCGACACAAAGCAGGACGAGAAGACAGACGTGTCTCCTGTCGCCGCCGAAGGGGGGGGGGGGGTCACCATCGCCGTGAGGGGGAGGGGGGGGTCACCATCGCCATGGGGGGGAGGGGGGGTCACCATCGCCATGGGGGGGAGGGGGGGTCACCATCGCCATGGGGGGGTCACCATCGCCTTGAGGGGGAGGGGGGGTCACCATCGCCGTGAGGGGAGGGGGGGGTCACCATCGCCATGGGGGGGAGGGGGGGGGTCACCATCGCCTTGAGGGGGAGGGGGGGGGTCACCATCGCCATGGGGGGAGGGGGGGTCACCATCGCCATGGGGGGGAGGGGGGGGGTCACCATCGCCTTGAGGGGGAGGGGGGGGGTCACCATCGCCTTGAGGGGGAGGGGGGGGGTCACCATCGCCATGGGGGGGAGGGGGGGGTCACCATCGCCTTGAGGGGAGGGGGGGGGTCACCATCGCCGTGAGGAGGAGGGGGGGGTCACCATCGCCGTGAGGAGGAGGGGGGGGGTCACCATCGCCATGGGGGGGAGGGGGGGGGTCACCATCGCCTTGAGGGGGAGGGGGGGGTCACCATCGCCGTGAGGGGGAGGGGGGTCACCATCGCCATGGGGGGGAGGGGGGGGGGTCACCATCGCCGTGAGGAGGAGGGGGGGGTCACCATCGCCGGGGGGGGGGCTGTTATTGGACTGTTGGTTTCTCTGAGGCCATATTCGGACTTCCTCCTCCTTGGCTCACACACAGCAGACGATTCATCATATTTTTACTTTTGGTAAAATCTGAAGTTGGAACTTAAGTTTTCTGCTCCATGTTCTTGAAACCAGTTTCACCTGGAAGCTTCGGATCGGACCAAAACCAAACCGGACCGACTTTCTGATCGGGTTCAGAGTCAGGCTGAGTAAGTGTTCCAGAGGTCATGGGGTCACATCATGCTGAAACATTAAACCACCTTCAAGGCCTTGTTACCGCGGCGCGGTTGCCGTCATGCAAACTAAATCTGCTAATAACGGCTTTCTTGAACTTTTTATTGCGTAATAAAACTTGTTCGATGACCTAAACGTGTAAAAAAGCAAAAATATAAACAGTTTCCCACAGAGCAGAGGCGTCATCAGCCTGAGCTCCTCTGGGTTCCTTTTGGCTCTGATTTTCTCTTACACTTTCAGAAACAACAGCAACAATAAGAAGCATCTTTAAATCCTGAGTCCTGATTGGCCCTGAAGGTGGAAGAGCGGCGTTGGAGCGACGCGTCCTGCAGCTCGGCGCCTCGGGTCCAGATGTGGCCCAGATGTTAAACTGACGAATGCTGTTAGTTTGAAGGTGAATCATCTTCACTGGTTTCCTCGGAGGATCAGCTGACTTCATGTCAGGTGAATCAGGTTCTGATGAAGTTCTTCTGCAGCATGGTTTGGGTCCAAACCGCCTCCAGGATCGGTTCTGGTTCTCTTACTGGAGCAAAGATGATATCTGTCATGAGAACTTCTGGCTGGGATCTCCATCTCCACAGAAACGTCCTGGTTCTGGTCCGGTCCGGTATGGTCGGTTCACCTCCAGAGGATTGGGCCTCCCAGAACCAGAGAGTCAGAACCAAACGTCCGTCAATGATCCAGGAACAGTCTGGGGTCACCAGGCTGACACGAGGCTACGTCCTCATTCGTTCTGATCATCTGATTAGTGATTGGCCAGCAGAAACAACCAGTGCTAGCCAATGAGAAGGAAGCTAATCACTAGCATTAGCATCAGATAGGCTAATGACTAGCAAGCTAAGGGTGGTATGCTGGATTGCCTACTTACTCTCCTGACTGTTAGCATAGACATGCTAGCGTTAGATTTGGCTAGCCTAGCATTAGCACTGCCTGAGCTAATGTTAGCCTTGGTCAGGCTAACAACTAGCATATTTAGTTTGGCAGGGCGTAACTGACTTTTTTCAACATTTAAAGCAGAATATTTTTAATCTAGTTTGTGATTTGTGGAACATGCTAATATAATTCTGCATTGAATTTTCACTGATCAAATAAAGTTTCATAAATCACAAACTAGGCTATAAATATTCTGCTTTTAGTTTAGAATAATATCGTTCATGTTTGAGGAGTCTGAGAGTTAAAGTTTGTGAACTGGAACAAGTTAAAGATAATTGGTTGGGATAATCACAATCAATGAGTAGACATTAATTTTTGATAACTTAAGGTTGTGAAACGTTATTTTCCCAATCAGAAGCCAACTTCAGCTCAGTTTTATGCATCATGTTTATACTTTGTGTCACGTTGGATTAACTGTCATCAAGGCAGCTGATGTATGAAGTTACAGGTTCTGCATATCAATGATAAATGTTTTGTTTCTAACATTAGCATAACCAATGCTAATGCTAGCTAGTAGTGTTCTCATTTTCCATAGCTGGTTGGTCTCTGACTTCCTGAAGAAACGACGTGGCCGAGTGGACCGGAGTCTGAATTTAGATGCTGAAACTGTAAATAAAAGTAACAATAAATCATCAGAGATCAGCTGGAGCCACAGAAAACCTGAGATCATGTCAGGAGACGGGACCTGAAAATGAAGCCTCTGCTCAGGTGTTCCCCCTCTGGGTCACCTGGTTTCCAGAGCAACAGCTGATGCTTTTGGAGGTTCTGAAACGAGCAGAAACTATTTTTACAGCCTGTTTCCTCTCCAGGGATGAACTGTTTCTGCTCCTCCTTCATCGGCGGCTTGGAGGCAGTTTGTGGTCCGAAAGCCGATTCATTTGTTCCTCGTCCTGATCAAAGCCAGCGGTTCCACTTCTAAGGATCTTTACAGATAAACACTGAAGATGTGATCATTACACGTGTAGGAGGCCGAGGAACAGACGGCTCTGATGTCGCAGTGGGAGGTTCCAGCAGAACCCAAACGGGTCCGGATCCACCTGGACGGTCCCACACATCCATCAGCAGGAACCTGGAAGAGAGGAACATGGAGGCTGCAGGGTGTTAGCACGACGCCAGGACAGACAGGGTCAAAGGTCACCTCAAGACGACTCAAAGTTCTTATCCTTAAGATAATAATCAAATAATTTAAAAAATAAAACCAATTAAAATAAATATTTAAAAAACATTCTAAAATGTTTTTTGTTTAAATGACAATAAATTTAAAAAGAAAAAATATTATAGAAAATACATATAATTAAAAAATAGAAATTAAAAGATAAAAGTGAAGATTATTCCCAAGATGAAAACACGTCTGATCAGCTCAGAGCTCCATCTCAGTCTCAACAGGTCAAAGGTCATGACCCTGAACCAGTATGACTGTAGAATCAAGATGGCTGCTGGGCTGAGGTTAGAGGTCATCATGGAGTGTACTTAGTTTTCCTCTTTCTGTGAAAACGTTCCAGTTTTATTTGTTGGAATGAGGAGCAGCTGATGGCGGCAGCAGCAGGACGGAAAAACGTCGGCGTATAAAATCTGTTTGCCAGATGCGGATCGCCCCAGCAATCCTGTTTCCTTCATTTCTCTACGCTGATCAACACCCGCAGACCGGTTCTGATGGGCCGCTCTGCACCTGGACCCGGTTGCAGCCCGTCGGGCCCAACGTGACGCTCCAACATCAACATGCTCAGTTAGGAAGAGAAGAACCAAAATCTGCAGAAAACCTCAGAAATGCTGGCAGGCGTTAAATGAAAACATCAAAGCTCGGGCAGAGGTTGTTTGTTCCTCCTGCGGTTCTGTTCGGCCCAACCCGAACTGCGTGATGTCATCGGCTTATTGTCAGAGCCTGCAGCTTTAACCCAAGTCAAGAACAAAACTCTGTGATAAATGATTTGATGATGCAGGAAGTTGGACATCGCCTGTTCTCTCCTGATTTTTCGCTCATTGATTATAGATCAGGATCGCCAATCTGGACGGCGGCCATCTTTAAAACGCTTGTCTCGTGTTTTTGTAAGAACCGAGGTTCTGATTTATAGATGGTGAGATCATCAGTCAGTGTGAGACGATAAACCGAACAAAAGCCCAAACCATCTGAGCTGAGTTCATTCCTGATGCAGGACACGTGGTTCTGGATCCGGTTCTGGATCCGGTTCTGAATGGATTCCAGTTTAAACAAATCAGAGGAAGCTTCTGAGACTCTGATGGACGTGAGGCGGTTCTGGGCTCACGGAGGACATCAGAGACACCGGGGGGACGGACGTGTCCTGCTCAGGAAGGACGGTTCTGGTCCAAACCGTCCAGACTGACCCGGAACCAAAACCAGAGATGGCATCTTCATCCAGCGAATCGGACCTGAAAGGCCACTCAGCGAAGAAGAAGTCAGTGGAACTGTTTGGACCATCCTAACTGAAGTACGGTGGTGGCAGCATGATGCTGTGGGGTTGTTTTACTGCAGGAGGAACCGGTGCGCTTCCGAACCCAGATGGAATCCAGAGGAAAGAAGATTATGTGGAAATACTGAAGCAACATCTGAAGAAATCAGAAGGACGGTGAGCTTCACATCCACAGGTTCTACAAGCCCGACCCGGTTCTACCGGTTCTGTTGGGAGGAATGGACCAGAACTCCAGCAAACTACAGGGTGAAACGTTAGGAATGAAACCCAGAACATCTGACCCGAATCAGACAGTTTAAGATTCTGACCAAAGGTATAACTTCTGAACTCAGAGAAACTGAAAATGTTCTTGCTGATTTTCTGACTTTCAGTGAATAGAAATAATCTGAAGCCGGAGAAGTTTGGTTCTCATTGAACACAGAGAACGTGTGTTTACAGGGTGTATGTAAACTTGTGGTTCCTCAGACGTTTCTGGGCCGTCGGTCCGTTTCCCACTGAGCTCTGCTGCGGATTTTGCTTTTTAACGAGGCTCTTCGGGGGAATCGGCCGGGCCCTGCGGCCCATCACGTGGTCAACACATATTTCCAGAACCGCTCTGGTTTGGAACCCGGTCCGTTCCCTCGCTTGTTTTTTCCCATGGCGGCCGACGAAGGCTGCTGCTCCTCTTCCTACATGGAAACAAGCGACCACACCTTCACCTCACCCACTGCGACTCACACAAGAACACTTCTTCTCTGATTTAACGACAATAAAGCGCATTGTGACTGAAATACGGTTCTGTCATCGGCGTTGGCCATGACCGTCCGTCTGGCTCCTGTTCAGTTTCAGAGACTGGAAGTCTCTCCAGCTCCTGATGCATCACATCCCCCTCTGGTTGTGCCAGCTGCAGCCACACAGAGCCGCCCCCTGCTCCTCGGCTTACTCCCTGACTCACCAACGTTCCTGAACAATGGCCGCCATTGAAGGCTCTAACGGACAGCCTGCATCTATTAGCCGGCCGCCATGGTGACGCCACAGCAGCTCCAACATGGTGACGGTAGATTCATGTCTACAAGCGCTGAGATGGAAACGATGGCGCTTCGAGGTCCAAACATGAAGGAGAACAGGATCTTCTGCTGGATCGACACAAAAACAGGAAGTTTCACAGTAAAATGCTGCTGAACATCGACTGAACGCTACTCAACCTCTGACCTCCAAAACCGCTCCAAAAGCAGGAAGTGGAGTACAGCGCAGGGCATTCTGGGTAACCAATGTTAACGTGTTAGCCTAGCGCTAGCAGCAGCAATGGCTCCTGGTCTTCAGCCAAAGACTAAAGAGAAATCACTAAACTCTGATGCCTCCATCTTGGTTCATCTGGTGAAACAGGAAGTTGCTCTCAGTGTCTTCAGAGGTTTTAGTGTCGTTTCCTGCAGTGGTTGTTGGTGCAGCGCCCCCACAGGCCAGGAGGGGAACAGGCTGGTTTGGGTGAGAACCACAGCAGCTGGAGGTGGAGCAGAAGTTCTGGTTCCAGTAGAACCGGGTCGACTGGACCGTCAGGAGGAACAAGGCTTCCGCCGGTTCCTGGTGGGGTGCTGGGGCCCTCTCAGTCACACAGTCCAACCGGATCACTGTGGATGGATGCATCGGTTTCCACCTGTCTGAGGGGCAGCCATATTGGAGTTTGAGCTTGTTGATGGTGAGATGTGACTTCCTAAATCAGATTTCAGGAATCGCTCCAGCTCACTTTTCAAACATGCAAGTTGAAAATTTCACCTTTGAAACGATGAATAAAAGAACCAGACCTTCAAACTAAAACAGGAAGTGAGGCCGGAACAGAAAGTGGAGCTCAAGGAAAACCCCAAGCGGTGAAACGTGAAGCTGTGAGTGGAGCGCTGGATGATTTAGAGGTAGGGAGGTTAGCTCTGCAGCCGCCTGGTAGATGTTTATGAGCTGACTCACCCAGAGCGTTGACTTTTCCATCCTGCTCTCAGAGCCATGTTTACCTTGAGAACATATAATTTCCATGATTTGGTAGAAATGAGTAAGCGTGTTTCACATCTGCGAGTAATTTCTGCTCATGGGCGAACAGTCCTGCTGCTGGGAGCCAGAGCAGCGTGAGATTACAGGACGAGCCGCGATCCCGCACAACATGTCAGCGCCGCTGATGCTTCATGAGCTGAGGAAGGTGACCTTTAACCTCCACTGGTCTGCAGCATGAGGAGCCGAGGCACAGGGGGACGTGCTGCCCCCAGAGGCCATGTCTGTCATTGCGCTGTGATTAACTGCAGGAGGATAAATGAAGCGGCGGTCAGAAAGAGACGAGTCGGTTTGGAGAACAGCTCTGGTTTCTTAAAGGGATATTCTACCAAACACATCCGTCTTTTAAATGCTTCCAGTTCTGACTGTTACATGGTTCCATTATGAGAAATTTCACATTTATTCTGCATTTCTTTAAACTAGTGAATCTGAAATTAAACACAGATCAACAAAATCAGCAACATCTTCAATTCAAAAGCCCCTTTGCTGCTAAATTACTGAATAAACAGATATTTGAGCTGAACAACAAAAGTATTTCTGTTTCTTCATGCAGCAAAGTGCTTTTCTATCCGTTCATTTTCCACATTTTCATGAAACCCTGATTATTCATTGAGCTTTAGAGAAGAGGACGCTGACATTAGCATTAGCTGCTATTGTGGGTGCTGATGTTAGCATTAGCTGCTACAGACTAAAAGCTGTCAGACTGACACCACATGGGATTTTTACAGGTTTTATTTATTAATTTATTTTACTTCTGGGTGATTTCTGGGACAAACTGGCTAATGGGACATCTCCCTTCGCTATCTCCGTCTCCTCAGACTCTGAGAATCACTGAAATTCTTACTTTCTTCTTCGTGGTTTAGTTGAAAGGGGCAACGTGTTAAACAAATAAAACTGTACCTTTTACATCTGTAGTTAGTTGGTAGACGAGACTTTAACCATTCAAAACACTTTAAAGGCAATAAAACAGAAACAAAAATTTTTTCCGGCAGCAGCAATGTCTGAAATGATTCCTGAATTATTGTTTTGAAGATTTTTCATTTAATGACGTCGCTGGAGTTCAGAGTTCGGAACCTGGTGGTTTTGTGGTTCTCATGGTTCCGGTGGTTCTCATGGTTCCGGTGGTTCTCATGGTTCCGGTGGTTTTCATGGTTCAGGTGGTTCTCATGGTTCAGGTGGTTCTCATGGTTCAGGTGGTTCTCATGGTTCAGGTGGTTCTCATGGTTCTAGTGGTTCTCATGGTTCAGGTGGTCCTCATGGTTCTGGTGGTTCTCATGGTTCCGGTGGTTTTCATGGTTCCGGTGGTTCTCATGGTTCTTGTGGTTCTCATGGTTCAGTGGTTCTTATGGTTCCGGTGGTTCTCATGGTTCCGTGGTTCTCATGGTTCAGGTGGTTCTCATGGTTCAGGTGGTTCTCATGGTTCCGGTGGTTGTCATGGTTCAGGTGGTTCTCATGGTTCAGGTGGTTCTCATGGTTCCGTGGTTCTCATGGTTCAGGTGGTTCTCATGGTTCAGGTGGTTCTCATGGTTCCGGTGGTTCTCATGGTTCCGGTGGTTCTCATGGTTCAGGTGGTTTTCATGGTCCGGTGGTTCTCATGGTTCTTGTGGTTCTCATGGTTCAAGTGGTTCTTATGGTTCCGGTGGTTCTCATGGTTCCGGTGGTTCTCATGGTTCAGGTGGTTCTCATGGTTCAGGTGGTTCTCATGGTTCCGGTGGTTGTCATGGTTCAGGTGGTTCTCATGGTTCAGGTGGT